CCCTCTATAGTAAATTGATCCATTTTATCTATCAAAGAGGTTAAAGGATTTATTAACAGAGGATTATTCATCATATACCTCTTTGAGTAGGAGTCCAGGGGATAGCTTCTTTTATAGACATTTTTCTCCCCCAGAATCTGGCAGTATATCCTGCACAACATGCACATGGATTTCCTGCACAACATGCACATGGATTTATGATTCCTGTATGGTATTAGATGAAAGGTCCTAGAGAGGGGTAAATAGGGTTATGAGGCAATAAATATGTAATTAAAAATAAGACAATGCAATACACCACAAAATAAAAATGCTAAAACAAGATAAGAGAGATGAGTTAAGAAATAGTTAGACAATTGTGACACGTGATATGTTCACGAGGTTCGGTCCTTCGACCTACGTCCCCGCTCCCCTCTCTCGAGGAGAATTTCACTATCACAATCCGGTTTGGAAGCCAGAACTTCTACACAACGATCTCCTCTTGATATCTCACGACCACACAGTACATCTTCACAAGATATTGCACTCCACACGATACAAAGAATAGTAAGAAGCTCTCTTACAGCAGCCCTATGGTAAAAAGAAGAGATTCCAATTGAAGCTTGGGATGTGGGATTTGCACGTGTGAAAACAGATTGAGGGAATTTGAAAATTGAAGCTCTTTTTAACACAACAACACAAGCTTAATCAATTTCTCTCGCAAAGTTGGTTTTTTTAATTAAATTGAGTAGTTGGGTATATATAGGTAATCCTTGGAAGAAGCCAAAAAACCTAGAAAAAGACAAAAAAGACCAAATCCCGAAAATCTGGAAGCTGGCAGAAACTTGTCGTTGCAGTACTGACGGTTGACCACAGAGCTATAGGCAGTCGACCGCAGGAACTAGCCGTTATAGCCAAACTTCTCTGGACTTTTCACGGTCAACCGTAGAACCAAGTCTGGTCGACCGTGAGAAGCTGCCTAGCTCCCAAACTCTCTGGACTTTTAACGGTCGGCCACAGAACCAAGTCTGGTCGACCGCGAACTGACACAAAACACACACAGAGTTTTAAACAGGTTTTTGACTTTGGGAAATTGTAAAAAATTATCAAACAACTTTCAAAAATTGTAAAATTCTGAAAAATGTTTTTTTTTAAATTTAATGTTTTTGTTTACGAGAACTACTAGATACTTGCACTTTTGATGTTTGTGACAATTGTATGCTCTTTATTCCGCCAAATTTACAGGTTGTGTTATTGTTGAGAAGGTTTACATTGGTATTTATAATTAGTTGTTGATGACATTTAAGCTAATCCTGATGAAAGCTCGGTAGCAAGTTTTATTTATTTAATAATTACTACATCCTAGGGGGGATTTCTCTCTAGAATGTACATTCCAGATAGAATTTCCATCTAGAATGTGCATCCTAGACAAACTTCCATATCACATCCTAAACTGAAATTCCTAGACAGACTATCCTAGATGGATGGTCGTTTAAGATGGGCATCTTAGACGGATTTCTTGGCATTCTAGATGAATTTCGTTGCCGTATAAGATGCTTAGATTTCTACTACTGAGGCCATGTCTCCGGATCTCTGAGAACCCTTTTGATCATTCTCTAAGAGCTTCACTCCATGTCAAAGACTATTTAGGACTCTTAACACAGATGTTTAGAAGTTTCATGATTCACAAAATATCTTCCTCATATTTTTACACCCTTAGTACGGGTTTTAAAGACAAACAATGAGGACCTTCGCAGCATTCTAAAATTAAGAATTTGCCAAACATTCTCTAAAAATCATTTATTTACTGTCGGTCTAGCAGTGCTCATTGACATACTAAAGGCATAGAAACATTTTGACATTGTTATGTTAATTGTCAAATTTTTAAATTTATTGTGTGCTTCCCAAAATAAAACTATCACTTTCTTTTTTTTTCCCCCTGTATTTTCTCATCGATTATGGATGACATTCAGGTTGAGATCGTACAAATAAACACGCAGAAAATCTTTAAAAACAAACGAAACGAATTAATTAGGTTAATTAGACCAAGCTAAATTCTGTTGCAGAATAAAGCAAGATATGTGCCAATTGCTTGTCTCTATAGGACAAAATTCCATATAATAGAATTAATTACCTTTGTCTAAGATTCTACAAAGCTGAGAGCGGCAGCACTGAGAAAAAAAATGCAAGTCTTCTCACGTCTCAGGTGTCGGTTATCGGTGGATGCTTTGCTGTCAAAACCCAACACCTCCAGATCTCTCTCGCCCTCCATCTATATAAGTCTCCCTTTGCTTCCCTTTAAGCAAACATCAGTTCACTCAGTTTTAGATACAACATCATGGATAACAACTTTCTCCTCCTCCTCAAAGCTTTGTTCGTCATCGCTGCTGCCTTCACGGGAGAGACCTCTGCAGAGAATTTCTCAAGCGACTTCGATGTGACCGGTGGGAAGGCTAGCATGCAGGATGGCGGGAACCAGGTGCAGCTGACCCTCGACCAGTCTGGTGGGGCCCAAGTGCAGTCGAAGGAGCAGTATATATATATATATATATATTTAATTTCTCTTGTTTTGCAGTAATCTAAGATTAGAGGTTTTTGAAGCGCTAGCTGTATAGTGAACAGGATGTATAGGATTGTGCTTTTCATTCTTACAGGGTAAATGTTAACTAGCTACAAATCCCAGGGTATACTGTGAGAAACATGGGTGTGAGGTTGTTTTAGCAAGTTGCTATAAAAGTCTTTTAGTCTTTAATACTTTCTATTTTTTCCTTATTGTTCAAAATTAGTAAAAAGTATATACTTCCGTTCGTACTACTCTTTGTGTGCCATACAAGTATGGATGTGCATATTCAAAACTAATATGCTTAACCATACACTTAACTGGAATTGTGAACAATTTATGGATGCATGCAGCTTCAATCCCCTCGGCCGACAAACGATGAGATGGATTTCGAGCTGTTAGGGAATGTGACTGGAGAGCCTTACCTATTGCACACCAATGTGTGGACTAATGGAGTAGGTAACAGAGAGGAGCAAATCAATCTGTGGTTTGATCCTAGAGCCGACTTTCACACTTACAGCTTCGTTTGGAATCCTCGAAATATAATGTAAGTAGCGTTATTTCACAAGAAAATATCCAAGTTATTCGGATCAATATATCACTAATTAAGTTTCAAGGGCATTTGATCAATATTTGGATCAATATGCTAATTTAAAAATGTGAAAATTTAGGGGTCTAATATAAAATTAGCAAAGATTAAATACTAAATTGTTCGGTTGATGTCATATATACATGCACGTCCCTTATGCAGATGGTTGGTTGATGGAACACCAGTTAGAGTATTCATGAATGCACCGCAACAAGGAGTCCCATACTTGAGCAAACAATTTTTGAATGCCTACGCTGCCCTCTGGAACGGTGACGAATGGGCAACGAGGAGAGGACAGGTCAAGATTGACTGGAGCAAAGCACCCTTCATAGGGACCTACCGCGATTACAATGCTGACGCGTGTGTGAACTCCGGTGGTGGCTCCCAATGCTCGCGAAATCGAGGGCAATGGTGGGATATGACTCTTGATGATGCACAACTAGCCAAGCTGAGGTGGGTGAGGAAAAACTACATGGTCTACGACTACTGTCAGGACACTGCAAAGTACCCACAAGGGTTTCCTCCAGAGTGCTCCATTAATGTGTAACATGTTTATGACAGTGACTTTGCGAAAGCTAGGCATGCAACTTGCATAAGGCAAAGTAAGGAACAAAATAAAGAATGTGACAACTAATAATCAATAAAGGATAAATGTGATTTTGGAGACATGTGTGTATGTTGAGCACTTGCATGAATCCTTGGTATTTAATTAACTCCTTTAAATAGAATATATAGGATCAGTTGAAAATGTTGAATCGTCAATCAAATACGCCGTAGGCTACACGGGACCCACCAAGGACAAGAAGGTCATCCAACATGATCATTAGACCAACCAAAGGTTAAATGAGTCTACAATTGGATAATGAGTCTACAATTGGATAATGGAACAAGTCTACAATGCCGTAAGTTAAAACTAGATACAAATCATCTTAGAAAAGGGGCTAAGTCCAACTAGCTCAGGATTAAAACATCTTACGTACATACACAGGGTTAGGTCCTCATGCGGGCTACCAACCTTGTGTATATGTGAGGTTAAGGCTAATGTTGTGTAATAAATAGTGTGTTGTAAGTGCACGAGAAAGTTATTGTATATTAAATTTCGAACCACAAGGAAAGAGTTTTTCTCTTTAAAATGGAAATTTTCCCTTTTTTTTGGTCAATGAACTGTAAATTTTATTCATCTCCCAATATGAACATGTAAGGTATTACAAAGAACCAGAAAAACCTGGTAACCAAAAGAAATTACAAATTACCAAGCAGTTCTTTCATATGCACATATGAACTATCATTTAGGACTTTATAGAAAACTGAAAGTTTAATATCCCTAAAGACTTGAGCAGGCAGTCTCCTCTTATCCTGAAAAGTTCTTAAATTTCTCTCCCTCCATATCATATATACAGCAGCAGATAATACCATCCGTTTCAACTTCTTCATAGGATTTTTACCTTTCAAATTGAAAGAGTACCAGTTCAGCAGCATGCTCCATGAACAGGATCTCCATTTATACTCCAACCAGCTCATCACTGAGTTCCACACTTCAGCTGAATATTTACACTCAAAGAAGATATGATCCCTTGTTTCTATTTGGTGACTGTCACACAGAACACAGTGAATTTGATTGGTGGTCAGGATGTTCATACGGCACAATCTATCTTTGGTAAGTAGCCTAGAATGACATGCTAGCCAAAACACAAATGAGTGCTTAGGGTATAGGAAGCCATCCCAAACTGTTTTAGCCCAAATTGCTGTGCTAACAGGTTGCAAAAGAGCTCTGTATACTGCAGATAATCGAAGATTTCCTGCAGAGCAACAATCTGCTATAATGTTCATCACAGAAACAGCACTTCCAAACTTAGTCAAAAGCAAATCTCTCACTTTAAGGAGTTGCCTCCACATCCAAGAGTCATTTGTCTTAGGTTGAACAGTCCATATACCTTGGTTATGTAGATAGTTTCCATGAACCCACTTAATCCATAGGAGATCCTTTTTAAGGTGGATCATCCACAGGAGCTAAGTGGCAGCACCGTAGTTCCAGAATTTAGCTAAAAATATACCCAGACCACCATATTCTTTCCCTTGACAGACAGATCCCCAATTTACTAAGTGAAATTTGTGCCCCCACAGAAAATCAGAACACATACTGTCAATCTTTTCCAGAGCTTTGATTGGGAGGATGTAATTACTTAACCAATATGTTTGAATTCCCAAAATAACAGATTTAATCAGCTCAAGTCTGCCAGCATAGGATAAGCACTTGTTTAACTGCCAGGTTTGGAATTGATTGTAGATTTTGCCAATAAGACTAGAACAATCAGTGAATGAAAGTCGTTTTGCAGTCAGAGGAAGTCCCAGATATTTCATAGGCAGTAAACCCTCGGGAAATTTAAGATAGTTACATATCTGGGCTTTGAGATCTTCAGTTACACCACTCAGATAGACAGAGCACTTGTTTAAGTTTGCTTCTAGCCCAGAAAATTGACCAAATTCTTGGAGACATGTGAAAATTTTAGTAACAGATCTCATGTCAGCCTTGCACAACAGCAGTAGATCATCAGCAAAAATCATATGATTAATCTTCAGTCTAGAGCATTTTGGATGAAATTTGAAAGATGAATCATCTTTTAGAGTGCTGAGACTCCTAGATAGGAATTCCATCCCTATAACAAAAAGATAGGGGGAGAGAGGATCCCCTTGTCTCAAGCCTCTTGCGCCATGGAAATAACCATGTAGACTTCCATTCAAGGCTAAAGAAAACTTAGGTGTAGATATACACTCCATGATCCAGCAAACCATATTACATGGAAAATTCAAACCAATCAACATGCTCCTTATAAAATCCCAACTGATAGTGTCAAAGGCCTTCCTCAAATCAACATTTAAGATGGCTCTTGGGGAATTATTTTTCCTCCCATAGTGCTTAAAAAGCTCATGTGCAAGTAAAAAATTACTGGAAATGAGTCTCCCTCTAACAAAAGCACACTGTGAATCATTAACAAGATATCCCATAATTTTTTGAACCCTGGTGGCAATAACTTTGGATATGATTTTGTAAATAACATTGCAACAGGATATAGGGCGAAAATCAGTAGCCGAGATAGGATTAAGAACTTTAGGCACAAGGGTAATAGATGTTGCATTAAGGGATCCCAAGAGTATACCTGAGTGAAAGAATTCCTCAACTGCTAGAAAAAGATCCTCTTTTATAACAGACCATGCAGCTTTGAAGAAGAAGGCATTGAATCCATCAGGACCAGGTGCCTTACTATCAGGCATTGAGAAAAGAGCTTTTTTGATCTCTTCCCTGGAAACAGGGGAACTCAGATCATGTTTTTGTTCAGAGGTTAAAATGGGACCATTTGAGATTATGTTAGGATCAGCAACAGTATTAGCTTTAGCAGAATCCAGCAGCTTCTTGTAGAAATCAATGAGCTCAGTAGATATATCAGACAAATCTGTGAGTCTGGAACCATCAGCAGTATAAATTGATAATATCCTGTTATGGTGTCTCTTGCTTTTCATAACTAAATGGAAAAAAATTGAGACCCCTTTGTAGGCATATAAAATTGCTTATAGGTCCCTTGACACGGTTCAAGACGAACTAATGAACCATCGGGCGATGTATCTAAGCACAAACGTCACCGAAGCCAAGTGACACGCAACGAAGCGGATTAACAAGGCTACGAAGCTGACGAACCGCACGTGAACGACGGAATGAATCCACTCGCGTACGGGATCAAACCAACGGTCCAGAGAGTCAACGAGTCATCCAACCATATAACGGATTCGAACTCAGACACCAAAGCCGATTTACTGCCTAATCGGGATCCAGACTGCCAAATCAGGAATCAAGTCAACAAATAGACCAATCAACCGCATAACCGAATCACGGACGAAGCGGATACAAGGACCAAAACAACCAAACGACGGACGCAAAACCCGGAGTGGCTCGGCCAAGGCCGAGCCACCCTAGGGTGGCTCGGTGGCCGCCGAGCCACCTCAGGGTGGCTCGCCGAGCCACCTCGGGGTGGCTCGGTGGCCGAGCCACCTTGGGGTGGCTCGGCCATGAGCCGAGCCACCCCAAGGTGGCTAGGCACAGTGTCGGCCACCCCGAGGTGGCCGACAGTGGCCAGAGGTGGCCGACAATTCCCTTTTTGCAGCCACTGTCCTGAGAGCCTATAAATAGGCCTAGAGATGTTCATTTTCAGGGGTCGAACTTTCAAGAGCCGAAACTCTGCCGGATTGAAGAGTGAACTCGGAGCTTGAAGACCAGAAGACTTGCACCATTCAGATCTGATCCTCGGCGACCATCCACGTCAGAAAAGGCAGGATCTCGAGAGGAAGAAAGAACAGATCTGAGATCTACACGAGGCTACACTCCAGATCTAAGCTTGGTCTTAGATCTCGAGATCCGAGCGATTATTCCCTTGGTGGATTAATCCCTCCCGGCTATTATTCCCTTCGTGGAATAATACCCGCATACTCGTGTAGATCCGACCGGATCTAGATCGCGCGGTGGTCCACGGATTAACCCCGGCGCAGGCAAAGAACCCACCAAAGCGAGCGACCGCAAAACAGGAGCTCGTGATTTGTTCACAGAGGAGAGTTGTAATTTTTCTTTATTTTCTTTGATTTAGTTGTAACCGGATCTATAAAAGACCGGATCTTTGTAACCCAAGATGACAATCATATCAATGAGAAAGAAAACAGTTTTCCACGCGAACAATCTGGCGACCACAGTGGGAGCCGACGATCTCGCCAACGAGATCGATGCGTCGCAGCCGCGGATTGCAATCCCGGTCGTGGAGGAGGTCGAGTACGAGTTCGACCAAGCCAAGTTCGAGGAGTACGTGTCCTCGTCCGGCTCTATCTCCCCCCGCAAGTCCAAGAAGTTCTCCTCCGGGAGAAAAGCTCGTTGGTTTGAAGCTGCTCGGGAAGCCCACGAAGCTCTCAACCCAACTGACGCCGAAGTTGCGTCAAATGAAGTTCCACCGACCTCCAATCAGGTCAACCCAACTCCCGCCAACGCCTCCACTGTTCAGGGCGTTGTGACTCTCTCAAAGAGAGCCCGCCAGAGGCGTCGTCAACGCCTTGCGCGGCAACTTGCTAAGGCGATGGAGTCTACGGACGGATTCCGCTACAACGCGGAGTTGAGGAACAGAAGAGGCAAACAGCCTCAACCACCAATGAATGGCGACTCTTCCAAGCCGCCAAAGAACGAATGGGTCCGCGTCAAACGGAACCGTTCGACACTTGAAGAGCGTATTCGCAAGCGCCGCGCGATGTCAGCGCAGGCACGGGCTCAAGCTCAGGAAGCCCGTAGAAGACTGCAAAAGGAGGAGGCGAAGAAGCCACCACCAACTCGCCAAGTCTGGAAGCCTAAGTCTGAAGTGGCGACCCAGGCCAAAAAGCAGCCATTGCAGCCTTCAAAGCAAGGCCAACCTCCGGCGAATCAATCAAAGTCGCCGTTAATTCCAATAGCTTCTCCGGGAGATCATGCAGAATCATCCCGAAGGAGGAAGTCAGTTTTGGAGCGCCTCGGTCCGCTTCCCAAAGAACGAGGCAAAGCTCCAGTTCAAGAACGGTTGGGGCCAATGAAGAAGTCCCAAACAATTCAACATGCTGGGGGTCGCCGCAACCCTCAACATTTGGAGAAAATC